AAAAAAAAAAAAAAAAAAAAAAAAAATAAAGAAATGCGGTTCATACTATATTAGGAAATGTTTAATCATCTACTTGTGCCATACTGCCTAATATATCATTCATTCATTCAAAAGTATGATTTATTTGGTTACATTACATTTTTGTACTTTTATGTCTCGCTGCGATATTTTATACTTTAGTACATTTTAATATTTAGCCAATAAAAAATTTTTTATTAATTATGACAGCCAAACCTAATAAGTAAAAAAGCAAAAAGCAAAATATTCAGTCAGCTGAGTGCTCATATCAATTATAGTAGATTCCGCAAGATGATCTCGATATAACAAACAAACGATATAACGAACTTTCATGATTAACCGAACTTTTTTTTAAAACCGTCTTCATAATCATATTTAAAACATCTAGATATACTGAACATCATATAAACTTTATATAACGTATACCGAACTTTTATTGATTTACCATTTATTAAAAAATTTTCACTCAGTCACATGATTTTCTAATTTTGCCTGAAATTAGTTAATTTCGGCCAAAATTAGAACTACCTAATTTTTGCCTAAATTAATTGATGTTAAAACCATCTTAATTCTGACCGAAATTGGGCTATTAATTACGTGATTTTCTTGGTATACCGAACTTTCAAAAAACTTTGGGGTTCGGTATATAAAAAAATTCCGAATTTTTACTCCCAAACGGTTAAAACCATGATCGCGATTACAAGTTAAATAGTTGCATGGTAATTTTTTATGTGTATAACTTAAACAAATTATAGAAAATGTTTCAACACTTCAACACTTGATATTTATTTTTATTCGATGAATTTATGTATTTATTATTTTCAAAAAAAAAAAATTAATGTATAAAATTTTTTAAATAGAGGCGAGTCAATTTATATCAAATATTAAGGAATTCAGTATATTAAATAATAATGGCATAACAAAATTCATCTTGAACTTTTTTACATATTTGAAATAATGTCGTTAGTTAACATATCAAAGACAAGTATCTAAACAATTATAAACCCTGCATAATTTAAAGAACTACCGTTATTGTACAATATGCTGATCGTGATGAAGGAACAAAGTTATTCGCCATTAATGTTACTAATATCAAGTAATAAAATACCATTTTGTAATAATTATATCAACATTCTATTTGAGATATTTTTTTAAAATCATATTAAGTATTTGAAAATCATCCGAAAGTTACGCGTTATATTGATTTTTTAAAAAAGAAAAATAATAATTTTGTAAATAATTTTATTTCTTCATTTAATAATGTGAAGTCAACTAATTTTTAAATTTCATCCAAAAGTTACATGTTATGATCTTTTAAAAAAAAAAAAAATAATAAATTTGTAAATATTAATATAATTTAATTTTATTTCTTTATTTAATAATGAAGTCAAAAAATTTTAAAAATCTTAAAAGGTCTTGATGACAATGGTCTTGACGACAATAACTTGAAGGTAATTAAATAATTGATAATGATCTATAAATAGAAATAAAAGAGAGGTTATCCTATGATCACTCAGATAAATGAGTTATTGAATTACTGGGCTGATATCAGAACGCTCATCCACGCTTACTCAGGCACATATACCAGATTTCATCTAGACTCACAAAGAATCCCGACAAATAAATATATTTGGAAAACCTTAGACATATATATACGTGAACAGACCCATGAACTAAATCGTAAAAAAGCCTTCATTGCAATTAAAGCTCAATTGAACACAATAACTCACCTTTGTTAAAAATAAGGCAGTAATCAACCCAGGATTCTAATCACCTACAAGAATAATTAATAATGTAATTCTGAAAACATAAATAGGTCCAAAACTACTCCTATTTATAAGAAATTTTGCATTATATTTAATCTTGACATTTTATTACTTATAATGAGTCATAATCATAATAAAATGAATAATTATAAATACTAATTTCCATCAATTTCCATCATATTCCTTTAATAAAATAACTTATAATGAGTCATAATTATCAATATTTACAATAAGATTAATAATAACAAACCCTGATTACTAATCTATTATTATATCTTTACTTAATTATTAAATAATGCCTAGTAAATTTTTAACACATTGTATCGTTTGCGCGGCAAAAAATTTTATTTGATTTTGGTAAAATTACTTTTAAACTGGAATTCAATAAATATGTTTTGGTAAATATTAGTATAATATCTATCATAAGAGCTCTCTTATACAATAGAATTTGTTCATAATCAAAATTTTAAGGCAGAAACTCCTATATTGTATAATTAAATGAACGAAATTATTATAAATATTGATTATTAAGCCTATATATATACTGCAGGATCACCCGAAAACCCCGAGCTCTACTCATTCTTCAGGGCCGGCACTATGTAATGCTGGTCGGCATTATCCACAAATGGAGGCGATCTACATAATTTTGGCTCATAACCAGGACCTGACCTTTCTATGTATAGCTCGGGGTCCTATCATCCGTCAGATAAATTTTTTTTTGGTATTACAAATAGTTTTATCATTCGATTTAACGTTAACGCAAATGAGGCCGATATGTATAGATAATATTTATTTCATGGTGTAGTGTAAACGAATATTTTTTATGTTTATAATTTATTTTTTTGCTTTATTAAATTATGATATATACAAGCTTATATTAACAGAAGTATACTGAGAAATATTAAATTTATTTGACAAACTATTAAGTATAAAAAATAATGTATTGTAGGTTTTATTTTAGTGTTTAATGTTAAGAAAAAAATATAACAGATAAAGGTTTGTTTGGGAAACAATAATTTAGTAATTCAAACAAAATTACATACCACATTGAGATGGGAATACCGCATTATTCTTTTGATTTATTTGATAATAACATATCCGAATTTATTCATGCTCAAAGGAACCTTATTGTTTGTTTCAGTCTTGGATCTCTCGTTCAAGTTCTTGTACATATCGTAATGTTAATAATGTCAATGATTGTAACTACTATTTATTACTGGATCTTGAGTTACCAGTTATACTATTTCTCGTCCATGATTAAATATACGTTCATTACTAGGTGGTTCTACTATTTCTTGTCTGTGATTGTAAATATTTTCATTATTGGATGATTCTACAAATTCTCGCCCATGATTATGAATATTTACATTATTGGATGATTCTAGTTTATAATTATGATTCTACTATTCCTTGTCCGTGATTAAAAATATTTTTTTCAGCTTGACTCCTTTTATTCCACATATATAAAGCGAAAATAAATAAAGCACAAACAATCAAAAATCCTACAATAGCTCCTGTAAATATTTACATTTACTTTTGATGATTCATTAAATGATTGTGCTGATATATTTGATGATGAAGGATCATATTCATTTGTCCAAATATATTCATCTTTATTACTAATATCAAGTAATAGAATATCATTTTCTTCTGATTCGTTATAACCCAATCTTATTAAAGTTATTTGTTATTTATATATTTGGTTAAATTCATATAAAATCAATTTAAATAATAGTTTAAAAATACAATTACCAAATGATATAACCATGTATTTTCCAATTACATTTGCTCGATATGAAGCTCATAATTTATTAAATTTAATTCATAAAGTGATGAATCTACAGGTTTAGCATCACTAGAACCTCCATAAATGATTACCCCTTGACCGTCTAATCCTATTAAAATAAAAATTGTATCTTAATTTAAATACGATATTGTTTAACAATATTGCTATTTAAATACATACCAAAGACAGCGGATGCCTCTAGTCTCTTAGGAGGCATTGTTCCCGAAGTTATCTATATTTAAATTAATGTTTAGTACTAAGTTATTTATAATTAATTGATAATTAACATTTATAATTACTTACTTTCGTATTCTAAGTATCATTTACTATATCATATATATAAACCTATATATAAATAATTTTACTAACTTAGAACAAAAAATTTTTGTCTAAAAAAGAATCTCAATAAAAATCATTATTAAATTTTTTTGATTTCAATACCTTTATTAAACTACTGGCACTCTACTATCTAAATAATAAAGTAATAAATAAAAATAAAAATGAAAAATAGGAAAATAATAAATAATGTCAGAATAACAAAGAATGACGAAATTACTTGCTTACCTATATAGATTATATTATTAGGTAATAAAGTGGTAGCACTTTTCAATCCAATATTTGGTGCACCAATTGAACTCCTCGTTTCCCAAATTAAATTTTTTGTATCTAAAATGGCGATAATATCACCAATTCCATCCCAGAAATACATTTTTCCATCATTGTCGATAGTTCCTATTGAAGCATCATAAAGAATAGGTGTTATACCGGTTGTTACTGGAGTATTCCATGAATTATTTTGCGGATTAAATGTGTGAACAGATGCCAATTTAATAGCTGCATTTTCGATTATGAACAACGTATCATTAATTGCACCACCCCATGCAGAGCGGACTCAGCACCGAAATGTGAAGGAATAGTATTAATGCTTGATAATCTTTTATTAATAAATTTTGAGTATTAAACGGGACAGAAAAATCGAAATAAAAAAAATCTTTCCCAACATTATTAGTTGAGAGACCACTCAAAATGTATAATTTTTTATCAATAAGCGTTGCAGTATGTTCGCTTCGTTCCTTATCTATAGAGGGAGATGTTTGACAATTTATTTCAATTAATAATTGAAATATAAACAATAATATAAAATACTTTTGTAACATTTGCGCGTTTTTTTATTAAAAAAAAAAAAAATAATAATAATAATTTTATTGAAAGACATCAGCGTTTTATATTATATGAAATTAGTGCTACATTCCATTTGAGTTTGTGCATTAAAAAGTCGGAAAAGTAATCTTATTACCGTTCTTTGTAGAAATCTTTTTCACTTCGTAAGAGAAAATACGTGAATTGTACGATCAATCGTTGAATTAAAAAGGTTAGGACAATGCAATGTTGCACAGATACTAGTTTGTAATAGTACTAGTATCATATCATAGAATAGGAACGGATCACATGATAAGATATACAATCGAGTGACTTTGACGTAGTGTTTGGATCCGGATAAAAACCGTTATCCGGATAAAATAATTACTCAATCCGGATAAAAACTTTAATTTTGTAAAAGGTGGAATTAAATCCAATTATCAACAAATTTGAGTACTATGATCGTATTTGTAACACTAAGAGCTTTCAAACAAGCCATAAATCATAAAGTTCTGATCATTAGTTCATGAAATACAACAGTTTATCCGAAATCTGCAATCCGGATAAAATCCGACGAAATCCGGATAAAACCGCGGTTTTTACCCGGATAATCGCACTTTATCCGGATTGACCCGGATTCGGATCCAAACACTACTTTGACGCAGCAGAAATTTTATGACTTCCCTAGCGTAACCTGAAAAAAATGTCAAGAAATGGCCGGCATTACGCAACTTGACTGAAATTAAGTGTGGCGCACTTGTGACGAATAATGTGTGATGAATAAGTTTTTACCTACTCGAAAAAAACTAAGTCCCTCAGATACTTATAGAAAATGGAAACGCAGTGGGGTGTGACGGTTGTGACAAAAAATGTCACGCGATTTTTCGTGACATTTTTTTCAGGTTACGCTGGGAAAGTCAAATTTTATTAATGTAATATAAAAAAAAATTTTTTTCAAATTGCTTTAAATGGTTTCATCGAAATTTTTAATTTAACTTTCTATATAAGTAAAAATTCTTTTTTAACATATAACAGATAATTCATCTTTATATAAAATTTAAGAAAAAAAAGATTTTTTTTTTATCCGCTCGAGTGATACAAATCAACCGACAACACTTTTTTGCACAGATAGATAAATAATAGAATATTTTCTAGAACTGATAGAAACTTAAATATTTAAATATACAATAGATAAATTCTGTACATTTTTTTTGGTGATTTCCGTTAAAGGCTATAATATCGGTTTTTCAACATACTATATACAATAATTTATGAATAAAGAGTTTATTAACCTAAATGCTTTTAATAAAAATATTTTAAATTAAAAGGTTTTATGAACGGATACTTATTTTTGTAGTCTAAAAAAAGAGACCAATAAACATTGTATGATCGTTTTTCTATAAATAAATAATTTAAAAATAGAAGTAATAACAGATAAAAAAAGATTTGATAATTTAAGTTTGATCTGCAAATTACATATCTAAAAATAAGTTTTTACGAGGTTCTGTCTTTTTTTTAAAAAAAATGATCAAACAAAATTAACTTTTGAAGCTTACTGATAATAAAAGTACACAGGAGACCTTAAATTGCATTCTACTCTTTTGTTGTCAAAAGAAGTTATGAGCTATAGGCTATAAGTTATATGGTTATATTATAAGAATCCGATTTGATTTTCACGTTGTGATAACTAAGCACGAAAATTAAGCGAAAATCGAATATTTATTTGGAATAGTATGATCACACTATTATGCTAATACTATACAGAAATACAATTCAAGCCTGAAGTGTTGCTTGGATGTATGTTACGTAAATCAGATTGTTGTACTACAGTACATCGGAGAACATTTTGCGCTAATCGGCAGAATGCATATGAATGATTATGATTTTACAAATATGGAATTTCCACTTTTATTTCGTTACACTTCCATAGAATTCTATCCAAGAAAATTCTATTAATAGAATATGACAAATATATAATAAATATTTTCATATATTTACAAACTTAAATTTTATTTTGTTTCCTTTTTATTTGAAACTTCTTAAAATATATTACATCATGAATAGTAAAAGTTCTTTTGATCCGACACCAAGATTAATATCTAGTCCTATTCAAATTTTATTTTTTCCTTTTAGTTTAGATGAGGAATTTTGTGATTGTGGAAATGTATACTCAAATACATGTTTATTTCAAAAATACTGCAAAAATTGTTCATCTGAGTACATTAAGAAAATAACTAATTTTAATGCATACTTAGATATTTATGATGGAAATGGAAAACATTTACATGCACAAAACATAACGCTTGAGAATTCACATTTTAAACAAATAGTCACTAAGGATACATTTGATATTAGAAATAAATATTTAAATTACTGTAAATTATGTTGTAATGAACGAAGTGCTATCAATTGTTCAGTTTGTTATTTAATCTTTTTCACCTGGATAGAATTTACTTCTACTTCCTCAGTTCTTCATTTACCATGGTGGGATACCCATAATCAATGTATAGTTTGTGATTCAGAACTAGAATTTAAATCAAATTGTCAAAAATGGTGCTCAAATTGCTTTATAATTTACACTGGATGTAGATATTGTTTAACAACAAATATTATTTTTGGAATTACAGAAAAATCTCAATGTATGAAATGTAAAAGATTGTCATTGATTGATATAAATATGTCATCTGATGTGAAAAAGATTAAAGAATATTTTCTCAAACTTAATACTCATAACTTTAATCAAATTGCTAATTATGTAAATAATATTGATGAAAATTCTAATTTGTTAGAAATATATAGTTTTATAAAGAAGCCTAATTATTTTCCTTTAAGTGTTTTATGTTCACACATTGCAAATCTAGCAGGAAATAATGAAAATTCTTTAAATTTAACTATACCAATTATGTTTATCCCTTTTAGAAGTGATGAATATCAATGTTATTGTTGTAAAAAAATCTATTCTGAAACACCCTTCTTTAAACAACAATATTGCAAGGATTGCTTACAATGGTATATTAAATATGCAATTAGTAATATAGATAGTATTAAGACAGCAATTGGTAACTTGGATGCATATGCATGTACGACTAATACTGTTTGTAATACAAAACATAAACAAAGAAATTCAGATTTTTGCATTCAAGAGTGGTGTGAAAATTGCTCGGAAATTTCATATTTCAAACGAATTATCATAAATCAACAACTTGATTTTGAAAATATAGGTCAGATTTTTGAAAAAAATTGTTCAGTTTATTCTATAGTTTCTTTCACATGGATGGAATTTACTTCTACTTCTCCAGTTCTTCATTTACCATGGTGGGATACCCATAATCAATGTATAGTTTGTGATTCAAGACTAGAATTTAAATCAGATTGTCAAAAATGGTGCTCAAATTGCTTTATAATTTACACTGGGTGTAGATATTGTTTAACAACAAATATTATTTTTGGAAATGCAGAAAAATCTCAATGCATGAAATGTAAAAGATTGTCATGGATTGATATCAACATGCCACTTGATATGAAAAATATTGAATACTTTCTAAAATTCAGCACTTATAACTTTAATCAAATTGCTAATTTTGTGAATAATATTGATAAAAATTCTAATCTATTAGAGATATATAGCTTTATAAAAAAGCTTAGGTACTTAAATTTTAAAATATATTCTCAAATAATTGTAAATTTAGAAAATAATGGAGATTATTTAACTATACCATTTATATTTATTCCTTTTAAAAATGATGAAGATCAATGTTATTGTTGTGAAAATATCTATTCTGAAACCCCAGTATTAAAACAAAAGTATTGCAAGCATTGCTTATATTGGTGCATTAATTATGCTACTAATAATTTGAATATTAAATTTGTAATTGATAATTTAGATGTATGTATAAGAACAACTAATACTAATTGTGAACCAATAAATTTGGACTTATGCATTCGAGGGTGGTGTGAATATTGCTCTGAAATTTTATATTTCAAACAAATGGTTATAAAACAGCCATTTGGTTTTGACATATTGAATTATTTTTATGAAGAAACCTGCAGATTATGCAAAAAATTAATGTACAAACAAAATGTACAAGAGACATTTAAATTATGTTCCAATTGTTATTCAATTTCTTTTGAATTTATAGAATCAACTTTGGCCAAAAATCATATCCCAATTCTTCATTTACAATGGTGGGATGCTGATAATAAATGCATAATGTGTAATTTAGAACTAAAATTAAAAACTGATTATCAAAAATGGTGCTCAAATTGCATAATAATTTACACTGGGTGTAGATATTGTTTAACAACAAATATTATTTTTGGAATTACAGAAAAATCTCAATGCATGAAATGTAAAAGATTGTCATGGATTGATATCAACATGCCACTTGATATGAAAAATATTGAATACTTTCTAAAATTCAACACTCATAACTTTAATCAAATTGCTAATTTTGTGAATAATATTGATAAAACTTCTAATCTATTGGAGATATATAGTTTTATAAAGAAGCTTAGTTACTTAAATTTTAAAATATATTCCCAAATAATTGCAAATTTAGAAAATAATGGAGTTCATTCAACTATACCGAATATGTTTATTCCTTTTAAAAATGAAGCAGATCGATGTTATTGTTGTGAAAATACCTATTCTGAAACCCTATTTAAACAAAAATATTGCAAGTATTGCTTGTATTGGTACATTAATTATGCTACTTGTAGTTTGAGTATTAAATGTGCAATTGATAATTTGGATGTATGTATAAGAACAACTAATACTAATTGTGATAAACATGAACCAAAAAATTTGGATTTTTGCATTCAAGAGTGGTGCGAAAATTGCTCGGAAATTTTATATTTCAAACAAATAGTTACAAATCAGCAGTTTGATTTTAGTAATATGAATTATTTTTATAAAGAAAGCTGTAGATTATGCAAAAAATCGATTTATGAACAAAATGTACAAGAGACATTTAAATTATGTTTCAATTGCTATTCAATTTCTTTTGAATTTATAGAA